GTGAGAATGGGGATGAATGGGGAATGGGGTCCTATGGGATATATGGGGGAATGGGGGTGAATAGGGGGAATGGGGATGAATGGGGGCAGGTTGGAATGGGGGTAATGGGGATGAATGGGGTGAAGGGGAGTGATGGGGGAATGGGGACAATAGGGGTGAATGGGGATGAATGGGAGCAATGGGGGAATGAGGGAATGGGGGTGATTGGGGAATGGGGACAATGGGGGAATGGGGAGAATGGGGGAATGGGGGGAGTGGGGTGCTGGGGGGGTACCTGAGGGGCTAATGGGACCCACCCCACTGTGTCCCATTGTGGTGTCCCCCTTGTGTGTCCCATTGTGTCCATTGTGTTTCACATGGGGGCTGCCCCATTATGTCCCATTGTGTCTCCCATTGCTCCCATTGGCACCCATCGCCCCCGTTTTCCCCATCACCCCCATGCCCCCCATTGCCCCCTTCACCCCCACCGTGCCCCATTGGCAGGTGATGTTCTGCACGCTCAACACGCACAAGGTGGACATGGAGAAGCTCCTGGGGGGCCAGATCGGCCTCGAGGACTTCATCTTCGCGCACACGCGGGGCCAGCGCAAGCGCGTCGAGGTCTTCAAGTCGGAGGAGGCGCTGGGGCTCACCATCACCGACAACGGCGCCGGCTACGCCTTCATCAAGGTGCCCCCGGGGGGCGCTGTGGGGCGGGGGGCGCCAAGCGGCAGTGGGGTGGGGATGGAGAAGGTCAATGGGTGCTATTGGGGGGGCATAGGGGGACGTGGGGAGCCTTGGGGGCATCTCGGAGGGTACCAGGGCAATGGGATGGGGATGGAGAAGTTGAATGGGTGCTATTGGGGGCATAGGGGGATGTGGGGACCCAAAGGTGGTCCCTGAGCTGCCCTGGGGGACCTGGGGACCTCCTGGGGTCTATGGGGACATCTTGGGTGGCCATTGGAACCTCTTGGGTGTCTATGGGTGCCCATGGGGACCATTTGGGTGGCTATGGGGCCCTGTTGGGTGTCCATGAGTGCACAGAGGGTCTCTTTGGTGCCTATAGGTGCCCATGACGCCCTCTTGGGTGCCTCTAGGTGGCCATGGGAACCCTTTGGGTGTCTATGGGTGGCCATGGGGGCCTCTTCGGTGCCTCTAGGTGCCCATGGGGACCTCTTGGTGGCCATGGAGACCCTTTGTGTGTCTATGGGTGGCCCTGGGGCCCTCTTTGGTGCCTATGGGTGGCCACAGGGACCCCTTTGGGTGCCCATGGAGCCCCCCGTGTCCCGCAGCGCATCCGCGAGGGCAGCGTCATCGCCCGCATCCCCGTGATCGGGGTCGGGGACGTGATCGAGGCCATCGATGGACGCAGCCTCGTGGGCGCCCGGCACTTCGAGGTGGCCAAAGTGCTCAAGGAGCTGCCCCGCGGGCGGACCTTCGCCCTGCACCTCACTGAGCCCCGCAGGGCCTTCGGTGGGCGCTCAATGGGGGGTCCCAATGAGGGGTTCCCAATAGGAGGCAATGGGACGGTCCCAATGGGAGGCAGGGGGGGTGTCCCAATGGGAAGCAATGGGAGGGTCCCAATGGGAGGCAGTTGGGGGGTCAAAATGGGAGGCAATGGAAGGGTCCCAATGGGAGGCAGTGGGGGTGTCCCAATGGGAGGCAATGGGAGGGTCCCAGTAGGAGGCAGTAGGGGGGTCCCAATGGGAGGCAGTGGGGGGGGGTCACAATAGGAGGCAATGGGAGGGTCCCAATGGGAGGGTCCCAATAGGAGGCAGTAGGGGGGTCCCAATGGTGGGGGTCTCAATGGGAGGGGCACAATGGGAGAGAATGGGAGGGGTCCCAATGGGAGGCAATGGGAGGGGTCCAATGGGACGCAATGGAAGGGATCCCAGTAGGAAGCAATGGGGGGGTCCTATGGGAGGCAATGGGACACAATGGGAGAAGTTCCAATGGGAGCACTGGGATGGGTCCCAATGGGGCGCAATGGGAGGGGGCCCAATGGCAGGAGTCCCAATGGGAGGCAATGGGAAGGGTCCCAATGGGAGGCAATGAGAGGATCCCCTCAGTTGCACTGGGAGCCCCCCCAACCTTCCCCCCCTCCCCCCCGCCGTGGGGTCAGGGCTTGGTTTGGAGCCCCCACCCACCCGGGGAGCGTCCCCCCCTCTGACCCCCCATTTCCCTTCCAGACATGATTGCCCCAAGGGCGGGGGGGGGCCGAGGGGGGGGCACTCCCATGGGCTCCGGTCGGGGCACCCTGCGCCTGCGCGCCCATGGCCCCCCCACCCTCGAGGAGCAGGTACGGAGACCCCCATCATGGGGACCCCCCAATATCCCTGTTCCCCCCCCCATACCCCTGATCCCCCCCATCATGGGGACCCTCCCATATCCCTGACCCCCCCCATCATGGGGACGCCCCCATACCCCTGACCCCCCCATCATGGGGGACCCCCCCCATATCCCTGATCCCCTCCATCATGGGGACCCCCCATACCCCTGATCCCCCCATCATGGAGACCCCCCCCATATCTCTGACTCCCTCATCATGGAGACCCCCCCCCTATACTGAGAACCCCCCCAACCCCTCTATGCCCCCCCCAGCCCTCAGCCTTCGAGGAGCGTGCAGTGGCCAAGGTGGACGATTTGCTGGAGAGTTACATGGGCATCCGGGACAGCGAGCTGGGTGAGAGCCCCCCCCACAGCACCCATGGGTGCTAGGACCCCCCCATGGGACCCTTCTATGGGACCCCCCCCATGGAGCCCCTCTAATGGGTGCTGGGATGACCCCCCTTGGGACCCTTCTATGGGACCCCCCCAATGGGTGCTGGGCCTCCCTCCCATGGGATCCCCCCATGGGACCCCACTAATGGGTGCTGGCACCCCATCAATGAGGCCCTCCAGTGGGACCGCCCCCAATGGGTGCTGGGACCCCTCCATGAGAATCCCCCCATGAAGTCTCCCCCATGGGACCTCCCCTAATGGGTGCTGGCATCCCCCATGGGACACCCCCCCCCCCCCCCATATAATCCCTCCTAATGGGTGCTGGGACTGGAACCCCCATGGGAACCCTCTATAAGACCCCCCCCAATGGGTGCTTGGACCCCTCCATGGGACCCCCCTCTAATGGCTGCTGGACCCCCCCCACTGTCATCCCTGTATCCCTGCAGCCGCCACCATGGTGGAGCTGGGCCGGGATGCTCCGGACCCGGATGCGCTGGCGCAGGCCCTGGATTCCCAGCTCGGGGACTTCGCCTTCCCGGATGAGTTCGTCTTTGACGTTTGGGGGGCCATCGGCGATGCCAAAGTGGGGCGCGGATGAGGGGGACCCCCCCACCATGGACCCCCATCAAGACCACTACAAACCCCCCCTCCCCCCCTTAAATGGGCCCCCCCAAAAAGCTGGACCCCCCTCAAAAACTGCTAGAGATGGGTGCCCCCTCCCTTAGCACCTTCCCAATGGATGCTTCCAACCATGCCCCCCCCCAAACTGGGACCACCCCCCTCATTGAGGGGGCGTCTCTATGGACCTAAAGGTGCCCCCACCCCCAATCACCCTAGGGCTTGAAGCTTAACCCCCTCCCCTTATTGACCCCCCCATGACATTAATGCCCCCCCCAGGGTGATGGATGAGGGTTCCCCCCCTTTGAGCTTTGCTATGGTGGGGGTGGGGGGACTGGAGCTGCCCTGTGGTGCCCCAATGAGACAGGACCCCCCCTCACCCCCTGGTGCCAACCTGAGCCCGTCACTGACCCCCCCCATCGCACTGACTACCTCGGGGGGGCACAGCACAACCCCCCCCGGTCACTGTGTCCCTATTGGGGGGGGGACAGTTACGGGGGGGGGGGGGGGCTTGTGTCATTCCCCCCCTCCCCCGGGGCTTATTTTTGTATCTGCCACTAAAGGTGATTTTACCATAAAGAGGAGAATTTGGGGGGGGGGGGGGGGGGGCACTCGGTATGGGAAGGAGCAGAGGCCGCTGATGCTGGAGGCCATCGGAGCCGGCATCGTCTGCTGGATGGGGGCATGGAGCCGTGCTGGGGGCTCCGGGGGGGGCTGGCAGAGGATCCACTCATGGCAGTGCCTCCTTGAGGTGTAGCCCCCCGCTTGCTTGGCCCTGGCACAGCCGTGGCCCCCGCTCGTCAGCCCCACAACCCGGGAGACGCTGGTGCGGGTGTCCCGGCACGTGAGGGGGCCGCCGGTGTCACCCTATGGGGGAGAAACGGGATGAAGATGGGGATGCGGATGGGTGGCCATGGCAATGCCGAAGGGGACCGCTGCTGTCACCCTATGGAGGAGAAGGGGACAGGATGGGGATGGGTGCCCATGGCCCGTTCGGGGTCCCTGGCTCCGATCTCCCAGCCCCGATCCCGGTCGGTTCCGGGTCCCCCCCCCCCCGGTTCCCCCCCAGCCGCGCTCGGTGCTTCCTTCCTGAGTGCTGACACCAGCGCCATCCCCTTGTTCCTCCTGCGGTGGCCGCAGCAGGACCGGATGGGACCGGATAGGCAATGAACTGGTCCAAACGGGTTCAAATGGGTCCAAACTGATCCAAACGGGCCCAAACCGGTCCAAATGGGTCCAAACTGATCCAAACGGGTTCAAACCTGTTCAGACGGGTCCAAACTGATCCAAACCGGTCCAAACGGGTCCAAGCTGGTTCAGACCATCCAAAGTGGTCCAAACCTGTTCAAACCGATTCAAGCCCGTCCAAACTTTTTCAAACGGGTCCAAACTGGTTCAAATGGGTCCAAACGGGCCCAAACTGGTTCAAGCTGGTCCAAAGCAGTTCAAACAGGTCCACACCTGGAGCAGGTTCGGGGTCCCGGGTTCCCCTTCCGCGTCCCTGGCTCCGACCTCCCAGCCCCGATCCCGGTCGGTTCCTGGTGCCCCCCCGGTTCCTCCCCGGCCGCGCTCGGTGCTTCCTTCCTGAGTGCTGACACCAGCGCCATCCCCTTGTTCCTCCTTCGGCGGCCGCAGCGGGACCGGACGGGCAATGGGGCCGGACCCGCTCCCCCTCCTCCTCCTCCTCCTCCTCCCAGGTCGGTTCCCCCCGCACCGCGCTCCCCGGAGCCGGGGTTTCCCGGTGCCTGACCCCGGTTCCCACCGCAGGAGCCGCGGCTCCTCCTCCTCCTCCCCTCGTGCTCCTGCTCGGCACCGACGGCCCCCCCCGCATCGGCTGCTTCGCCCCGAAGCGCTTCTCCGGTAGCGCCTTCGAGCTGCTGGCGGCCGGGTCCCGGGCCCCGGTGCGGAGCATCCCGGCCGAGCCGCACCGGCACACGGCAGAGTTCACCCTGGACGACGCCGCCGCCGCCGCCTCCCGCTGCTACTGGTGCCGGTACCGGAGCCCCAACGGCAGCGCCTGGGAGACGTCGGAGCTCAGCGAGGGGATCGCGGTGACTGGTGCGGGATGGGGATGGCATGGAGATGGGATGGGGATGGCATGGAGATGGGATGGGGATGGGGATGGGATGAGATGAGGATGGAGATGGGATGGGGATGGGGATGAGGGTGGAGACGGTATGAGGATGGGATGGGCATGGGATGGGGATGGGGATGAAGGGGGAGCCCCGTTCCCGACGGGGCAGCCCCAAAGCAGCGGCCTCGGTTCCTGCCCGCAGGCTCCGATGACTCCGGGTGCGGGATCCCCGCGGCCGGGACGGAGCCGCCGCTGCCCGGCTCCGAGCCCCGCGGCTCCGCGGCCGCGCCGGGGGCCCCGCGGCTCCTCCCGCTGCTCCTCCCGCTGCTCGCCCTGGGGCTGCTCGGGGCGCTCTGAAGGGGCGGGACCGGCGCTGCTCCTCCTTCCCCTCCCTCCGGTGCCCCCGTCCCGATGCCCCCTTCCCGGCGCGGTCCCGGTCCCGGAGTAATAAAGGTGTCGGTGCCGGTGCAGGATGTGGTGCTGGACCCAACCCCCCCCGTGTCCTAGATCCCGGTGTCCTGGTCCCAGTCCTGGTCCTCAATCCCGGCTCCTGTTCCCAATCCCAGTCTCCCGTCCTGCTTTCCAACCCAGTTCCTGATCCCAGTCATCTTCCCGATTCCATTCCTGCTTCCCAGTCCTGGTGCCCATTCACGGTCCTGTTCCTGACCCTGGTTCCCGATGCCGACCTTGGTCCTGGTTTCATTCCCATTCCCGGTTGTCATCCCACTCCCGATTCTATTTCTGCTTCCCAGGGCTGGTCCTGGTTGTGATCCCATTCCCGTTCCCAGTCCCCGTTGTGATCCCATTCGTGATGCCAGTCCCAGTCCCAGTTGTGATTCCGTTCCTCATGCTGGTCCCGTCCCCAGTCCTAGTTGTGATCCCAATCCCACTTTCATTCCCATTCCCAGTTTTGATCCCATTCCCGCTCCCATTCCCCATCCCATTCCCGATCCCCATCCCAGTTGTGATCCCATTCCCGGTCCCAGTTGTGATCCCATTCACGATCCCATTCCCAGTCCCCATTCCTGCTCCTGCTCCCATTCCCGCTCCCATTCCTGCTCCCATTCCCAGCTGTGCTCCCATTCCCAGTCCCCATTCCTGAACCCGATCCCATTCCTGCTTCCATTCCCACTCCCATTCCCTATCCCATTCCCAGCTGTGTTCCCATTCCTGCTCCCATTCACAGTCCCATTCCCACTCCCATTCCCGCTCCCATTTCTGCTCCCATTCCCAGTCCCCATTCCCCATCCCATTCCCAGCTGTACTCCCATTCCCTCTCCCATTCCCGGTCCCCATTCCCAGTCCCCATTCCCTCTCCCATTCCCGGTCCCCATTCCCAGTCCCCATTCCCTCTCCCATTCCCGGTCCCCATTCCCAGTCCCCATTCCTGCTCCCATTCCCGACCCCATTCCCAGTCCCCAGTCCCTTTCCCATTCCCGCTCCCATTCCCGACCCCATTCCCAGTCCCCATTCCCGCTCCCATTCCCGACCCCATTCCCAGTCCCCATTCCCTCTCCCATTCCCTCTCCCATTCCCGCTCCCATTCCCTCTCCCATTCCCAGTCCCCATTCCCAGTCCCCATTCCCGGTCCCCATTCCCTCTCCCATTCCCGCTCCCATTCCGTCTCCCATTCCCAGTCCCCATTCCCGCTCCCGCTCCCTCTCCCTCAGTCCTCCCGCGGCCGCCAGCCGGCAGGGGTCGCTGTGCGCGGTGTCGGCGGCGCTGGCGGCGGCGGTGGGCGTGTCCCGCGCTGGGGGGCGTGTCCTGCGCGCGGCGGCTCAAGATGGCCGCGGTGTCGGTGTTCGCCGGCGTGCGGCTGCTCACGATCGGGGACGCCAATGGCGAGCTCCAGCGGCACCAGGAGCAGCAGCCGCTGCGCCTCGAGGTCCGCACCGGGCCCGACAGCGCCGCCCTCGCGCTCCACGGCCGTGAGTGGGGCCGGGGGTCGGGGCCCCTGCGTGGGGCCTGCGGGGGGGGGGGAGCGGGGGGCTGCGGGGGTCAATGGGAGCTGGGGGGGGATGTGTGGGGATGTGAGGGGGGCTGCAGGGGGGCTGTGGGGGGTGTGGGTCTGTGAGGGGGGGTGGGGGTGTATGGGGGGTGTGGGTCTGTGAGGGGGGCTGCAGGGGGTCTGTGTGTCTATGAGGGGTGTGGGTCTGTGAGGGGGGCTGCAGGGGGTCTGGGGCTCTATGGGGGGTGTGGGTCTGTGGGGGGGCTGTAGGGGTTCTGGGGGTCTGT